ACGGCATGGCCGCCGAGGGTTGTGTTAAGGGGAGCTGGAAGAGCAAGACCGTGAACGTTGGGAGCGTTGTGAGCGTTCGTCGGCGCTGGCTGGTCGTTGCCACGGCCTCGGACGGCGTTGTTCATCGGAGCCGCGCGGGCATTATTGCCTCTGCCTCTGGCGGCGTTCTTTACCGGAGCTGCGCGGACATTGCCTTGGCCTTTGCCTCTGCCTCTGCGGGCCTTGTTCGAAGGAGCTGGGATGGCATCGCCGCCCTCGGCGTTGTTGGCCTGGGTTTCGTTTTTTGGGCTTCTTGGGCCTTGAGCACCTCCTTTCCAGCCTGGACCATGTCTGCCTTCCTGACATTGAGTTTTTGGTTGGCTTCCGAACGGTTCATCTCGCGTATGGGATGATCGACCAAGTTGTGACTGGTGGGAAAATCCATAAGACGTTTGCATATGGTCTTGCGCTTCTGTTCGAACTTTCAGTACCTGTCACGGACGAAGGCTGCGAGGATTGGGCACTTACGTAAAGGGCATCAAGCACCTGTTGCAGCCTTTCTTGAAACGGGAGCTGGGGGGGGCGCTTTTTCTCGAAATTCGCATTTTCTTGCGATTGGGCAAGGGGGCCGTCTCTGCAGCGTCGAATGAGTAGGTCCTACATGAGATCAGTACATTTGAATCGTCCCTTGTTGGATGATAACAAACGAAGACGGCGGAAACTTGAACTCACGAGGGTTTCCCAAGCCGCGACCTCAACCTTCTCGGCAATGAGACGATTCTTATACCGTTTTCGAAAGGGCTTATTGTCAGTTGAATGTCCTATAGCCTTCATAGCATTCGACAACTCCACCACGATGGCCCTCATCTGCTCCTCAGTGGTGGGAATGGTCGGATCGTCCTCCGGCTTTCTGAAGGTGTACCGGCGCCACGCACGGGCTTCCTGGAGAGAAGAGAAGCGGGTATTCATGTCCGCTCCATGCGTAACAGGGTCCATGATGTGCTCAACCAGTTGCCTAGGTTCAGGTTCAGGCTCAGGCTCTGAGTCTGACTCAGGCTCTGGCGCGGTCTGTGTCCATTCTCCTCCCAATTCATAATCATTTTCATCATCCCGTTCCTCTTCCTCTTGTTCATTTTCATGCACTTCGTCTGAAACTTTTCCGTCCGCGTGTTCATTACCCGCACTCTCAGAAACAGGTACATTTGGCTGATTCGCCACGCTCGACCGAGGATTGACTGCACTCGACTGGTAATTGGCAATGCCAGACTGAGGAATAGCCATGCTCGACTGGGGATCGGTCGCAGAGGAATTGGCAATGTCCGACTGAGGATTAGCCATGCTTGACTGGTGATTCACCGCGCTTGACTGAGGATCAGTTGCAGAGGAATTGGCCACGCCTGACTGAGGATCAGTCGCAGAATTGATGTTCGAGCCAGCGTCATTGAGATTGGCATCATTCACAGAACCACCAGTTTGAAGGAAGTCCAGCATCTGATTTGCGATTTCAACATTGGAGTTGTCGCGTGGGAGTGGGATATCGGGCTGGATGGCTGTTCCAACGACGGAAGGGGTGTTTGACTGATTAGGTTGAGCTTCGTTAGGGAAGATTCCAACCTGACCCTGACGGTACTGCACACCAGGGTTGTGCTTTACAAAATCAAAGTTAGAAGCCAAGAACGCATTCATCGGGGCACCAGAGGCATCGGCTCTAGCCAGGCTTCCGCTCTGGATGAAGGCCTCTTCCTCAGCGGCAGTCGAAAAAGTTCCAGGGGGAGCATAGTAGCCGCCGCCGTTCGGTCCAACCAGGTATGTAGTTTGCTGATACTGATTCCCATATGCACCCGAGGCCGCAGCGTCGCTCTGGGTATCAGTGTTGTTGTCCGAGGCATCGTTCACAGACGAGTCAACATCATTAGCCCCGTCCAAAGAGAGCTGCCCGTTTTTCGCGATTTGCTCTTGATCGGATGAGGTTTGCTGATGACCGTCCTCGACTTCCTGGACGTCAATTTTTTCTTTTTCTTGCCTATAGTGAAATGTTAGGAACTGATAGACCAATTATTCTCTCTTTGACTTACTCAGCGAATTCCTTATCCAAATCCAACTCTTCATGTTCGTAGGCTTCACTTTCGTAAAAAAACATGTCATCGAAATAACTCTGGTGAACATTGCCGATGTCGTTATTGTCGTTCTCATCGATATTGTCATCAACGTTTTCGTCGAAGATCAGATCGACAACGTTGCGTTCGACGTTGTCACTCATGTTGACAGCCAGTGCCAACACACAGAAACAGAAAGTACAGGGTAGGTATCAAGTGTAAATCGCGAGTAGAAAGCAGAATCGTTAGGGAATATCTGAACAGCAAGATTCGAATTTCAACGCCTCAGGCGTGCTTGACAGATTTCAATGATACAAATGAAGGTCAGTGACAGTTTCTAAGTGTAGAACGAGAGGGATTGCGAGTTAAAACACAGCGTAGAGAGCGAAATTGAAGATTGAGTCAAGAGATTGAAGATTTTTGGTAGAATTCACAAAAGGAGAGTCGTGAGAGTTGCGTGAAGGGGATGAAGAAAAAAAAAGTCGAGGGCTGGGAAGCAAGTGGGCTTTTATATGCCTGACTCCAATCGTGAAAATGGCCTTTCCAAAAGCAGCAGTAAAAGATGGAGAACAATGTATTGTTCCCCAGTCTTTCACTTTCGTGCTTGAGGGCTATTGTGACAATAATGCTCCCCGACTCGCCCAGTGAATGCCTGATGCCGGAATCTTCCCCCCTAAGCCATATCCCCCTAATCTATATTGACAGAACAATAGATTCCGCTGCCATTGTCGCCAATTACCCCTATACAGACCTCCTAAGTTACTTATTATTCTCAATTCTTCAGATTGATGTTGCTGTGAAGTGAACTTGCCTATATCTATGACTTGGCCGCCATCAGCGAATCTCGATATCTGGACCCACTTGGGGCTCTCTGTCAGGTGGGTACCCAGGCCTGTCAACAAAGAACTATATTTCGGTGGCTGGGAGCAGATTTTTATGCCTAGGGCCTTAGAGCGTAGAAAACCGGTTTTCGCTGCCATTTGAGAGGTTACCGCCCTCCGGACGTCCCAACTCTGAGTTGTTGTAGAGAATTCTCCCAACATCCGCACACATCGTCAGCACGCGGTGAGTATCACGTGCGACCTTTGCGCCCCCAAGCATCTTTGGACTCAACGCGATCGATTGCAGCATCATCGTGACGCGCATATGGTTTTCTCCGAAGTCCTTGACCATCCAAAACAAACTGAGATTGATACCACAGTCACACAGAACAGAAAGGACGACATGAAGAAGAAGAAGCAAAGTCTCCATGATGGAAGTCTCATAATTAGCCTATACATGTTGCAATCACAACGAGCGCCAGTTGAGATCAGAGCTGGGAGCATCATGCAGACAGATGATTTCCGATCTTTCTTTCTGTGTGAATGAAAGCGCGTTATTAGAAACCATTTTCTCCAAGATTCATATCTAACGGTCGCAATCGCAAAATCGTATTTGATGCATACAATTGAGTCATAAAAGCAGATGTTCCGAGTCTGAGGATTTGATGCTGACATGCAACGGAACTAGGAGATCGATGGTATACCAAGTCAACAGAAGAGATGCGAACACATCAACCGGATCAAGAAATCAGAAGACAATATGCCGAAACAATGAATTGAAGAACCTAATGACCTCTCAATGCCTCTATTCCTTTCCATTCATACGCGGAGATGACTTTGTGATGGCAGCACTCGCTGAGGTGCACCCACGAGAGAGATGAGATGGCGGCGATTTTTCACCACATTGACAAGAATTCCCTTCCAATAACATCATAACGCACCAGAAAAAGGTAATTCGAACGGGCAAAATGGGCCAGGTTGATAGCTGTCATGCCGTTGTGCTTAACGGATATTGAAAAATTGAGGTTGTTCTAACGGCACGGTGATTGGCGGCCGCTATCCCGGGATGTACAGGGGCTGCTGCACGTCATCCCGAGAGTTTCTAACCATGAACGGGAAAGACATCAACGCCGTCGGAATCTAAATTGAGCTTATTTTGAGGGAATGTGAACACACTGGTTTAAGGTTATTTTGCTTTATTTTTATTTATTCAGTACGATATCACGATAAGTTCTGTATTTTAAATTACAGAAACACGGAGTTCCACCATGCTCATTTGTGACGAGTTGCAATGCAAACCGTTTCAGGAAATCGCAATGGCTACCTACCTACCTCAAGGTAGAAAGGTGAGGTCCGTAACCTACCTAGGTAGTTGCCTACTGAGGCAATCGCGATTTAGAAGTTGCTAATTTCGGAAGTCGACAAACGCAGGTACTCGTGGGTAATAGAACAGCAACCCTTCGTTTATCGACTTTATCACATTCTTGGGACTTCACATTCTTCATGGGGCTTGCTCAACGCTCGTTTGTGAACAAAATTGGATACTCTGACAGAGTACTCGCTATCGTTAGGTCTCACCGTCCTATTATCGTCGCGCAGGTAAGATACCCCGTGTTGATCTGCTAGCTCTGAAAGCTTTGGCGATTGTCTTACATATTTAACGTACAGAATTGATACCTCCAAGTCCGCGCGAGATACCTATCTTCGAAGTTTTTTGTGACCATGCAGCTACGGTTTCTCATCGTCTTCACAAATGTGGTTTATCTGGGACAAAAGACAGCAGCCATGCCAGTTCTTACGACGCCATTTCGAACGGAAACGGTGGCAGACAAAGCAGCAGGTTGCGAATTTTACTCAGCTGTGTGCACACATGATCGAACCTTCGCTTCATACTTCCAGCGCCCATTGCTGCCCAATTTCGCAGATCCTGCCTATTCCACGAACAGCATGCTGAGAGTCCAGGTCCGCCAACTTCTTCCAACTTCAGGGGACGATTTCTGGTATGGGGGAAGTGGGTACGTAAGAGAACTTCATGCTCGATCCTGAAGTAGACGGCTGTCATTGACGCTGACTTTCCGGTAGAGGCGTGCAATTAGGTGACGGGAAAGACAGTGATAAAAGAGACACGTAAGCTGTACGAGGGACGAGGATTGAATCGATGGAAGGGAAAACATAAAAAGCAGGACTACGCTTCCATTGTTCAGTGCACCTCGAAACCCTCTTAAAGGAATTTCTTTGGTACTGCTTATTGATACTTAGCTGAAGGCAGATATCAATACTTGAATGGGCGTTCAAACGGTGAGATTTCAGACTCTGGAAAGAACGGGGCAATACGTATTAATTATCGTTACGTTTTTATTACAAATGAGACACATCATTCGAATTGCGCATAACTGGGAAAGCAGCTATGGTTTGTGCTACAAAGACCATATTCTCAAGCTGTTATCGCCCGTCGATCTCGCCGGAAGATTGCCCATATCGTCAACTGCGGCGTAGTCAACGAAATGCCTCTGGCCGGAACAGGTAGCCAAAACACTACCACCTGGATGTAAAACCGCACTAGTAACCGAGTCTAAAACTCTTGTTATTTCTCTGAATACAAGGAAGATGATTGCAGAAGACAGCTTACCATCATGAACTTTAAACTCCCAATCGGGTTCCTTCTGTCCCACGGTCGCAAACGGGTTCCTCCAGACCCGTGTCACTCCATCAGTCCCGCCGGCCCATACCTCGTGCGATTCAGTTTCACCGATCGGTATAATATCTGCTTTCAACCGCTGGTTCGAGATTGCCCTGCGCCCCTGAAGCCACCCAAGTAGCTGTCCGGTGACTCTGATATCGTACACCAGCATGCCCTGACTCTTCCTCTCAGCCACATAAAGATATCTCCCACAAGGACTCCATAGAAGTTGCGTGATTCCCTTCCCGCCGATGTGGCGATCGGCCTCGCTCTTCGCGATGCTGAACGTCCCTATGAGCTCTCCACAACCCCTGGAATCATAGAGAGCGATGTTGCGCGTGAATGTCCCCGCGGCCAATATGCCATCTTCGTTGGGATTCATCGCCATTGCAGAAACAATACCCTTCATGCCTACGCCACCACCAACTATCTGTTTGCGCTTACTGGGTATGGTAGGCATCCTCAAGACGGGGCCGTCGCTTCCCGGTCGTGAAACATCAAAAAGGCATATTAGACTATCAGAGCCAGTCAAGAAATGAGTTCCACCCAGGTGAGCAGGATACAAAATAGAATGTGGTGTGATGAAAGCTTCAGTCGAGGGATTGATTAACGAGTACGTCGCCAGAGTCTGTGGCGCAAGAGCCGAGGAGAGCCTGATCGGGTGATCGCGTACAGATGATAGGAGAAGCGTGGTTGAGGGATCTTGAAGAGAGAAGTAAGGATAGATAGCAGTGGCGTATATCGGTTCAGAGGACGGCAATGTAGAATAAGGTGTTAGCTGCAGCGGTGCATCTCTTTCATCTAAGAGATCTGGGGGGCTAATATCGTCAGCTCAAGTCATGAATCTCCATCAGCATGTTATATTCTGTGGCACCAACAGGACAAATGTTCGGATGTGATTATCTGCAGAGTCTGTGATGACCGTTGTTCCGTCAGGAGTCCTGTGGTCATTGTCAGTCCAAGGTCTTCCCAGCGACTGGATCTCTGGATCAAGAACTGACCATTCTGCACTCTTGAAATAATTCGAATCGATGCGCCCCTGCTTCCTACCGGACGCTGATTCCGGAGTTGGAGTCAAGGATTTGTCCTTTTGAGATTCTGAGTCTGCAGACAATTGGGTGGCTTCACAAAAAGCCACACATAGTGGATTCAAGCTTGTATCCTGGTCCTGGCTCATTTCTAAGGACTAAGCACTCTCCTCGAGTCAAATCAACGATGCCACGCATTCAGGAAAGGAGAAAAGGGCATGGACAGTCAAGTATAAAGGTGAAAAAATAGCATGTGATCCGCACAACGAATCCGGATCTCCTCTCGCATGTTTTGAAGTTATATGTCTTCAGTCTACCTTCCCCGGGCGGTGATCACCCGAAAGAAGGACGTTTGGGGCAAACGAAGTACATGTACATTTACCACGTCTAAAAACAATTTCATAAACAGTAAATTTTTCTAACATCCCATGTCTATCCGCAGGGGATAAGAAAGCTTTGGGATATAAGCAGAATCATCCATGGATGGGTGTTTCCTAAGATACTACTGCTGATGACGCTAAACCGAAAGAGGTGGCGGCAAATCTCTCACCGCCCGGCACTAGCCTCGCATCGCGGTACGGCTTTGTTTTCAGAAACACAGCGTCAGCTCAGCTCACCTCAGTTGTTATTTATTATTGTACTGGGCAAATAGCCTCCTGCAGCGACACACGGGGGCTGGACCAATCGTCAGCTCCTTTTTAGTCTGATAGCTCTGTATCTTTGTTTGCCCCCCTCCATCATGTTTTCCGCAAAGTCTTCGGCGCCAGCGACTGGAGGGTTGACAGTCAACACCTCCGCCGCAAATTCACTCTTGTAAGTACCCTTCTCTCCCCAGCCCCTCCTATTATTGTCGCGATTTCTTTGTTCTCGACTTCTGTAATGCCTGCGCCTGATTTCGCCATGTTTGACGCCAAGATGTCCCACTTCTCTGTTTTGCAGACTTCTCTCTGTCTCGCAGACCCGACGGCTCTGCTTTCTCTCCAATTTGTTCGGGCATTGCAGGCACAATCAGAATCATGGGGTTGAGGAAAAGAAGAACTGCAAAGTCCAAGCAGGACAATGAAGAGGATGATGAATTTGCTGACTTTGAGACACTGTTGAAACGCATGACATCGAACAGTGGCAGTTCCAATGCTCAAACCACTTCTTCTACAAGTCAACCGACCACCACGAGTACAACCGGGAGTACAGGAGGCCTTTTCGGAAACTTGGGTAGCTCAACCAGTCAGTCTAAACCTGGCGGGGGATTGTTTGGCAGTACCACGAGCGGGACTACACAGGGTCAGAGTGGACAAAGCTTGTTCTCGGGGTTGGGCTCGAACACCACAAGCGGAGCGCAGCAAAGTGGGACGACGACGACAACGACATCGCAGCCACAGTCTGGAAGTTTATTTTCGGGCCTGGGAGGAACTTCTACCAGCAATACGACGCAGCAACAAAGCGGGGGGAGTCTGTTTGGAAATCTAGGAACCTCGTCGACGACCCAGACTCAATCGAAATCCCTCTTCGGCGGCCTTGGGAGCTCAACTACTGGAAGCAGCCTCTTGTAAGTATTGGAAATCCAGTGACATATTCCGCTCTATCAAGAACTCATTACTGACTGTCATTTACTTAAAAAAGTGGAAATCAAAATACTTCTCAACAGCAGCAGCAACAACAACAGCAACAACAAAAGCCAACACTGTCTCTCTTTGGCAATCAAAATACTGGTACATCGCAACAGCAACAGCAAGCGTCAGCCGCGACCGGAACCGTCGTTCCCGGTGTCAAAGTCGATGTCAGCAACTTGCTACCCACAACCAAGTTCGAAAGTTGTTCGGACGAGTTGAAGAAGCAAATTGAGGCCATTGATACTTTCATCCTTAATCAAATCCACATGTGCAATGAAGTTTCGGATCTCCTGCCCACAATTGCCAACCAAGGAGCCACCATCCCCAACGATGTTGAGTTCGTGCAAGGCAAGCTCGATACAATGCAGCATGCACTGGAAAACGATGCCGGAGATATTGATCATGTGCGGAAATTGGTGTCCCGTGATGCTGCTGAGGCACAGGTTGCTTTTCGTGCGATCGATAATCTGAAGCTTCCGCTTCAATATCAGTCTACGGGTGGAGGATGGTGGTCAGTGTCGGAGCAACAACTTGCCGAACGACAGTCACTGCGTTCATCGATCAGAAATAGGAAGAGCACCCTCGCTCTCCCGGATGACGTGGAAGCTGATCCTTCGACGGTGACGTCCGTGAACGGGGTTCCTGTGAACCTTGTTGATTACTTTTCACACCGGGCTGACGAGATGCGATCCGTGCTTGACAGCTACAAGCGGAATCTCAAAGAGATCGAAGACCATCTGCACGGTGTCGAGGCCACGCTGAGCAGGCAGATTAACGAATTTGTCGCCTCGCGGAACCGGGACGGCACAGCAGGCACCTCAGGAGCGGCCAAGTCGCAGCTGAACGACCTCGCAGCTGCTCTCAGTGACGTGGAGGCAGGCATATTTGGTGTTGCCAGCAGGCTGGGTGGCGTCAAGGAAGAGGTGCAGGAATTGGTCTTGGGGCCTCCAAACGGAGGTCTTGGTAGGTTGGGCTAGGTACGACATGTGACAATGAATGGGAGGAAAACGATTTGAAGATATCATGCTTGTACACTACGACTTTTCTCTGCAGGACTGCGGATTGGCGGTTCCGGTAACTGCGTGGTTCTGGCGTCTTGGATGCGGAATTCTTTTTGCATGTTAGAAAACCGAGTCCGGCAATGTCTGATTAATTTGCATAGGCTTCGTAATGACAGGCTTTGAAACACATTAGAAGCGTTATGACAAGACTAAATCTAATGTATTAATGATCTCTGTACAGAGTATACGCGTCCAGTTGTCCGCGTCATCCTGTGGTCCAGCCCCTGTACAGCATGCGGTTTGGAGAGTTGAGATTCCTTGATCATTGTCTGGTCTGTTAAATCGGAGTAACAAAAGAGACGCGATAGTGGCGTAGTACGGAGTACTCCGTATCTAGCCGTCGGTTGTATCAGCATCCCATCCCGTCTGGATTATTCTGGAGAATTGACAGGATAAGGTGTAGGGAAGGAATTGGACGGCTTCGACCGGAAATTGCTTCTCCTTAATATCAACTTGATCTGCCCATTGTTTCACAGAGTTACGACGTTGTTGCTATTACAACGTCGTTATCAGGAAAGTAGACAGTCCAACCAGTTGCTTCGTGGAGTATCCGAAGGATGCAGTCGCCTTGGTGTGGGGGGATTTCCATCTGAATGATCGCCGTATGTTGCAGTTGCAGTGCTGCAGACCGCCTGTCTGACCCTGATGATCTTGAATTCTTGATTGATAAGTACACCGTAGACTCCCGCACGCTGAAAAGTTGTGGGGAAATGACTCCTGCGGAGTTGCAAAAAGCGTTCTGAAAGGCCAAGAAACGCGCAAGAAATCCCCGGTCTTGCGTTATCGGCGCTTGTGTGACGTGACGTCTCCGGATCCGATAACCCGCCCGTCTGGGAAAGCCGCTTTGCTGCAGACGATTGGCCAATTGCGTATACACGGCCAAAGACGAAACGGATGCTATCGCTTTTGTTGGACAATGGATGGACATCCTGCGACTGATTGATGAGCAGGGGAAACGGCTAGCTTGCTTGCGTCCTCGCGTCGTCATCCGTCTGTGAGGCTGATGGCGCAATGTTGCAGCGCATAGCAGACGCGGGTCCTTGACACAGCAGTATGGTATCAAATTCGGGCTGTCAGCTTACTCTGGGCCCGTATCCGTCGGGACAGCGGGTGTATGTAGCCCCAGAGAAGATGATGACAAGACTCTTCCTGACCTCATACTCGCCGTCAATCACACCATCCTGTCCCTGAGTCGCAACAGGCATGCTTCGAAAGCATGAGTGCCTTAGTAATGGCCTCTGCGTCATGTCTGCCGATTGTGTTCGAGGCTCAGCGGTGTAGGTTCTTTGTACTCCGTAAAAGATAAAAGGAGGCCTCCCTTTCTCTCGAACTTATTGCAATTACTTCTCTGACTGCTATTATTCAAGGAGCTTGCTTCAATTCTTGTTACCTGCGATTTAAGCTCGAGGCCATATCCACGAGGACCATGGCACCATCACTCGAGGAACCCGTCGGTACTGCTGAGCCTCTCGAAGTGCCAGCAAAAGCAGCGGGCGCACCAAACAAATTCAACTACGAACCAGGGCGGACGGTCGTAGAGAACCACGACAATTACGCCCACGAGGACCTTCTACCGTCGTTCCCAGACCTCCACTGGGAACCCCTAGGCCCAATTCCTTACGAGGACAAGGGTCTGCTCGGAGATCCCAACTTTAGCAACCTTCTCAGCTCTGCCACGGCTGTCTTTGACTACACGCCCAAGATTGGAACCGAGATTCACGGAGTCAACCTGGCCAAGTTGACCGACGCACAGAAGAACGATCTGGCTCGTCTGATCGCAGTTCGCGGGGTGGTCTTCTTCCGGGCCCAGGATGACTTTGACATTGAAGCTCAACGTGAGCTGGGACGGTACTTTGGGACTCTGCACAAGGTATGATGAGAATGCCCGAGATCGTCTTGATGTAGCCTATACTAACTTCTGTTTGCTAGCATGCGACTACTGCTGTTCCACGGAGGAAAGGTTTAGAAGATGTCCATGTGGTTTATAGCGTGGAGAACTCTGTTGACCAGCGTGCCCTCTATGCGCCAAGCTTCTTGTGGCATTCAGATGTATGAAGGCTCTTCGTCCTGGTAGAAAACAGTGACTAATTTCGACTCTAGGTGTCCTACGAAGTGCAGCCTCCCTCGTACACCTCTCTGAAGCTTCTTACGGGACCTACTCGCGGTGGCGGCGGTGATACTGTGTGGTCCTCGCAATATGCCGCATACGACGCACTGTCGCCTCACATGCAGACGTATCTCAAGGGCTTGACGGCCTTGCACTCGGCAGAAATGCAAGCAAACGACTCGCGGGCGCTAGGTCGGCCCGTTCGACGCGAGCCCGTGACAACAGAACACCCTCTCATCCGGACCAACCCCGTGACAGGGTGGAACGCGCTGTTCTTTAATCCGGGCTTCGTCACCAAGATTGTCGGAGTCCCCAAGACGGAGAGCGACGCCATCATCAGGTATCTGACAGAAGTCATCACCACTACACAGGAGATGCACGTCCGCTTCCAATGGGGCAAGAATGACGTCGCGTTCTGGGACAACCGCTCCACAGTAAGTCTGCCTGGAAGCCCTTTGCTGTTTCTCAAGGTAACGAGCATGGTTTGCTAATCAATTGCTTTCTAGGTCCACACCGCAACTTACGGCTTTGCGCCCCATCGTCGTCACGCTGTGCGCGTTGCTCCCCAGGCAGAGCGTCCTTACCTGGATCCAAACGGTAAATCCCAGGAGGAGGAGCTCGCTTCTCGTTACAACCTGCCGAAGGTGAACAAGGACGGGTCGCGTCAATCGAACTACAATGACTGAATAAATAGAGTCCGGAAGCTGGCCTTCTGGGTCTTCAATTGCAATTACCTTTCTGTAACATGGCATACAGTGTGTCTAGAACCTGAAATGACGGATTTATGACTGCTGATATATGACGAACAGATTTCTTTCAGCAGTGCTGTTCTCTTTGACTTTCTTTTGGCATTGGTACCTGATCTGATTTCTGATGTTTTCTTCTTTTCTTTGATGGAACAGTCGGTTTCAAGTCTCGAACATATGAGTATCAAACATCGTTCAAGATACCAAAAGCGTGATATAGTGCAGAAAACCGGATTTATATGTACTGTACCAAGAATTGACTCGATGACGAGTTATGAAACCTAAGCAATAATAAACAGTAGCAAGAAAAGAGTCGAATGGAATCGAAGAGTCGCCATTTATCCAGGTGGGAGAGTCGACAGGTAGGATTTCGCAGGAGAGAGGACAGTCCGGAAGAAACGAATAAGGTTATTCAAATGGGTTGATGGATGGTTGGTTTGGCTCTTGGTTCAAAACTAGGACCACCTGATTCCAGCTACTGTGAACCCTGCCTATAACAAACCAAATGAAACAAGCTAAATTTTTCGTTATAGTAAGGAATTCGTTATACCCAACTCCCCCCTTTTTCACCCCCAAAAAAGCTTCGAATGTCTTGCTGCGCTGCCTATGAGGCTTTTCTACCCGTAATTAACTTCTCATGCCTATCCAGAGCCTTGATCAACTCGCTGTCTCCTTCCTCCTGTTGTTCCTCGTATAGACGAAGCCGTTTTAAAGCCTCAAGGGCCTCAGAGATAGTTATACGTGGTAACACCTCAATTTCCTCATCTGATTCTGCCTCAATCTCAGGCCCAAATTGAGCAAGAATCTGGTCATCAAGTTGCTCAATGCTATCCTCAACCACCTCGTCAATTGGGTTCAAAAATTGATCGATATCCATGAGATCATTGATGCGTGATTTGAGGCGAAGTTGTTCGAGCTTTGATGAGATTTCTTGAATATCTTCATGATGTGAGAAGTCCCCTGAGATCCTGCGTTCTTGAAGCGCTTTATTGAAGCAATTTTCAATAATTGAAGGCTTTATCTCGATGTCCCAAACACGTATGCCCCATCTGATTGCCTTTAGCACATTCATTGATCGAAGAGGATCATCTCCAGCATCAAATTGAGAACAGAGATAGTTAACCCATTGTTTTTCCAGAGTATCTTCCATGCCTGAATAATCCCTTGATCAAGAGGTTGATATTGACTTGTTGAGCCTGGAGGAAGCCATATAATCAACGTATTCTTTAGTGGTGAGGGGCTTGCATTAATTGAAGCAATAGCAGCCTCATGAGCTGAGAAATTATCCATAAGAAGAACAACTTGCCGGCCAGTCATGCGCATATCGAACCAGCGAAGCCATTCCTTCATGATCTCGCTAGTCATCCATGCCTTCCTATTAGAGCGCCATACTAGATTCAAATTTTTGATATTGATTCCAGTGGCTTGAAGGCACGAGGCGTCTTTGCAGTCCCAATATACCATGTTGGAAGCTTCTCAGACCCATCAGAATTGCAACAAAAAAGTGCAGTGATTCGTGCTTTTTCTTTTTTGCGACCAGGAAGGCTTCGAGTTGCAAGGCTTCGATCTGGGATCTGTTTCCAGAATAAAGATGTCTCGTCACAGTTGAAGATATCGCGTGGATTATATGCATTCAAAGTCATACGTATAGAGACCATACGGGCTTCAGAATCACCGGGAACACTGCCTTCTTCTCCAAAAAAAAAGTCCGATCTTTTATGCCCTTTCTAGCCTGGAATCCGTGTAGCCAACCATTGCTGAAAGAAGGCATCTCAGTATCTTTATATATAGGCAGATTCTGCCAAAAGAACCGTGCTTTCTCACGAATCACTTCTTGAGTGATTGGTATACGCCCTTCAGCCCGTATAATTCATTCATATAAGGCCTGTTCAAGTTCTGGCCAGTTCTCCTGCCTTCGCTTTTTTAAATCGCCTCGCTGTAGTATAGGGGAATCAAGGGCGTCGTATCGATGGCTAAGGATCTCGGAGATGGAGGAAGGAGCAATCCGCTGCTTGTATTCATCGAAAAACCAAGCCTGGAGGTCTTTGATTGATGCTTTTGGATGTAGGCGACGGTAGGCTCGAAGGGCTGCTTTTTGAGAATTTGAGATAGCTAATCAGCGAGGCATTTTAGCAAATGTTCCACACTCACGTGCCTCTAATTATAACGAATTTTGTATGGAGGGAAGAGGTCAAATAACGAATTCCGTTATAATGCAGGATTAACGAATTTTGTATGGGAATTGAAAATGAACACGGTGTTGATTTCGTTATAGTGAGATATTCGTTAGAGCCGGGTTCGTTATAGGCAGGGTTCACAGTACCTATCTTTCTAGCTATTTACAGTGCACAAAACAGACAGACAATAAAAACAAAAGCCGCCAAATGCTATCGCCGAAACGCCACCATTTAACTGACTTGACTGTATATTAACCCTTCATAAAGTGCATCCATTCATAAAGTTAGCCAAAGAAAAACACATTCCCTTGAGCATCCCGTCTGGTCGACGTCATTTTCTTTATAAACTCCTCACCCGGCTCGTATTCGCGCCACAGGCTGGCCGGGAAGATGTGCTTGTTGCGCTCGTACCACCGCCGATCCACGACTTTTGTCAGGGTGGGATCCGCATCGGCGCCTTCGAGATCCTTGTCGCTTGGTCGAGAGAGAGGATCATTGTTGTCTTTCGGCGGAGGCGGTTTGTTGGAATAGTCGAACAGCAGGCCGCCGGATTTGGAGAAGCTGGGCACCTTGTTGGCAATGAAGTAATAGAACTCATAGTGCTGTGGCAGACGGGGTTGGTTAGCATTAAGCATGAAATACAACTAGCATGAAAGAGAGAAACTCACATGTGGAATAATGATCTCCCCTCGAACCAGCATCAGGTCATCCACCCCGACTCGGGCCCATTCCCGGCGGCTGTCTTTCTTCACCCGGCCGCCGTTTTGAGTGCCACTGACCCCCAGCTCAGCGCCGACCTTTCGACATCGATCCAGAAACAGCCAGACAGGGTCGCCTTTTTTGG